ATGATGCCACATGGCATGTGCTAGAATTTTCCATATCTAGGTAAAGACAGGACTCGTTTGTTGGGGAGCATGATAAGGAAAGTATCTTTGAGACTTTCCCATCTCAGTTATAATCCCCTTGGGTTTCCCATCAGCAAATCACCCATGCTGGACATTAACTTTTAACTTACAGTTTACATCCAGGCCTTTGGTTTCCTAACTTCTTTCTCCCTATCCCCTGATGCCCTGCTGTGCCCATCTGGGAGGTGCTTTCTGGCAGGAGGCAGTGCCAGCCCAGTCTATCCAGCTAATCTGTGATTTGGACCAGGATCTGAGGAGGGAAATAAAAGGTGCTTTGAGAGAACTTCTGGTGGCCTAGGGTTGAGTTTCAGTGCTAATACCACTGTAGCCTGGGGTTGATCCCCAACCAGGGAGAGAGCCCAAAGGAGACCTGTACTGTCTCCCTCCCCCCACCCCTTGCTCCCCTCAGCAGTGTACTTCAGTAGATCCACAAGTTCTACTCCCCACTCTGGTGAATCCTCTCACACTTCTGGCCTGCACTGCAGTTCTAATATGCAGGAATTTTTTTTTATAAAAAACAGTTTATTTTTACATCATTTTGTACATTTTTTTTCCCATCTCAATTGTAATCCCCTCGGGTTTCCCATCACCAAGTCACCCATGTGCCATCATCATAATCCTGTGCACTTCCCCCCGGTTTTTTATCCCAATCCCCACTCCATCCCCACAAAATGTCTCTGGTATATGGTTGTTCATTATTCTTGTTATTTTCTCGCCTGGTCCATTATACTCCTCTAATATGCAGGAATTTTTTTTTTTATTAAAAAGTTTATTTTTACATCATTTTTCACATTTTTTTTTCCATCTCAATTGTAATCCCCACGGGTTTCCCATCACCAAATCACCCCTGTGCCACCACCATAGTCCCATGCATTTCCCTCCCTTCCCCCCCTCCCCCCCGTTTTTGATCCCATTCCCCACTCTACCCCCACATAATGTCTCTGGTCTATGGTTGTTCATTATTTTTGTTATTTTCTCGCCTGGTCCATTATACTCCTGCTATGAGTGAAACCATCCGGTATTTTTCTTTCTCTTTCTGGCTTATCTCACTAAGCATGATCTTTTCCAGCTCCATCCAAGTTGCTGCAAAAGACATGTGTTTCTCTTTTTTGGTTGCTGAGTAATATTCCATTGTATATATGTACCACATCTTTCTAATCCAGTCATCTACTTTTGGGCATTTGGGCTGCTTCCATGTTTTTCCAATTGTAAATAAAGCAGCAATAAACATGGGGGTACAAGTATCTTTTTCAATCAGTGTTTTTGTGTCTTTTGGGTAGATACCTAGGAGTGGGATTGCTGGGTCATAGGGAAGCTCCATGTTTAGCAGTTTGAGGAACCTCCAAACAGTTTTCCATAGTGGTTGTATTAGTTTATGCAGGAATTTTTTTAAAAGGTGCTTTTGGATTTTTTAAAAAGGTGTGGATACTGATTTTAAGGTCGTTTCTAAAACAGTGGTCCTCAGTCTTGTCTGTGCATTGAAATCACCTGAAGATTAGGAAGAATTCATTCAGGTTCCATCCCCAGTGTTTCTGATTTAGCTGATTAAGTTATACTCTGGGCACCTGGAGTTTTAGAAGCTGCCAGAGATCCAATGTCCAACGGAAAGGTCTAGGATAGGACTGCTCATCTCTGCACTGTTAACTTCAGCCCTGGATAACCCCTTGTTGTGGGAGACTGTCCTGTGCATTGTAGAGTATTTATCAGCATCTCTTGCCTTTACCTGCTAGAAACCCTTCCCAATTGGGACAAATAAAAATACTCGTGGTGTCCACTAGAAATATTTGCTGGGGAGAGAGTGGTACAAAATTGCCAGTGTTGAGAACCATTGGTTAAAAAACAACTACTGTTGCTCTCGGCTGTGAGAGAAGGAAAGAGCTGTTGTAGCTTCTTTAACGGGAAAATATGATGCCACATGGCATGTGCTAGAATTTTCCATATCTAGGTAAAGACAGGACTCGTTTGTTGGGGAGCATGATAAGGAAAGTATCTTTGAGACTAGGAAATTCAGGAAATAATAAAGATCTTTCTAGCTGATTTGAAGCACAAGAGAAGGAAACTCAATCTCTTTAATTAGCATGAATAGCCTAGCCAGGGTGAAATACTGTCTCCAGCTGAGGAGTTCCTGTTAGCAGTGGGGAGATAAAAGGCTTGATGCCAAGTGGATGTAAACTCAGAACACTCCTTAGCCTGAAGAAGGCTTTGCCACCACACCGATGGGAATGTAAACCAAAATGGGTGAGGTTTAAGTCAGAGTGAGCTCAGTCTGAAAAGACTGGGGTTTAGGAATAAAATATTCAAGTACTTGTCTTAACTTGGGTATTTGAGAGAACTGCCTAGGAAATACTGTAAGAGAGTGGGGAAGTGGGAGAGGAAGAAGGTAATAACAGGGGCAAGACCAGAACAGCCAATGTGAAATCCCTCCGGAAGTTGCAGGGAGCCAGCTTGGAACACAGCCTCAGGTAAGGAGAGAGCTGCTGAATTTAGCTCTGAGTTCACAGGCCTTACTGATGGAGCCTGCACTCAGGACAACTCAGTTCTCAGCATCTGTGCAGAGCTCTGGGTTGGCCGCAGGCAGTTGCTGGAGTGGTGCCGAGGGGGAAGCAGACAGCTGCGTTGGTGATTGCTGAGGGCTGCTGGCAACAGTGGGCAATTTTTAAATATATTTAAAGTTACTAACTTTTATTAACTAGTAACAGTTGATTTCTAACAAGGCATTTTTATATTAGGGAACATTGCAAAAGCACTCCAAACTTCCAAGAAACATTTAAATGATTATTGGAGACTGAAATACCACGGCCAGAGCCCCCTCCACAGCCACCCCTGTGTCTGTTCCCAGCCCTGTCCTCAATGCCTCTTTCATTTCACTCCACCAGCCAGTTCCTTCAGGTTCGTAATCCACCCTGTCTCTGCTGTCGCCTCATTACTCTAGGATAACATTGGCTTTGCCTGGACTATCGCTGTAACCTTCTGGTGCATTTCCTTGAACACACAGACTTTTTCTTGGATGCTCCTCCTCTCCATCCCACCCAAGCCCAACCCTGCTTTTCTAATAACATCATCCTTCCTATCCTTGAGATCTGGCTAAATGTCTCTTCTTCACTCAACACCTTCCTCTTTAAAGAAAAATCTCTTCCATCTCAGCTGTTATTGCCAAACAGTTCCTGTATGTTTTCTTTGTGGCACATTCCACCATTTTAAAATGATTTTCTTGCTTTCCCTCTCTAGAATGTAACCTCTAGTCGACAAAGTCATGCTTTCTCCTTGACTACCTTCCCTTGTATCAGTCCCCCAGTTAAAGTTGAATGTCAGGTAACCACGAATAATTTTTTAGTATAAGTATGTCCAAATGTTGCGAATGATAAATTTGTACTAAAAACAATTCAGAGTTCATGTGACATTCAAATATAACTGGACATCTTGTATTGTATCTGGCAACCCTAGTTCCAAGGCCAACACATACTGACTCTCATTACATACTGTTAAAATAAAAGCTGGTAGCAGCATATCAAAATTGCTACTATGGTAACAACGTGGGGGGAATGTGTTAAAATTGCAGAACTGAAGTAGGGCCAAGCACCACTTTCCATTCCTTTCTATTCTATTTGCCTGTCTTCTCACTCAGCTCACCTCTAGGACGTGGGGAGCCCAGGACAGGCATGCTGATGTCTGAGGAGCATTAGGAGAAGCTATCCTCCACTGCCAGATTTGTGACACTGACCTTCATCTCTGGTCCTGATCTTTCGGGACTGTAAGCTCACTAGGGAGAAAGATTCTTCTTTTCAATCATTCTTCCTCAATATCCCACTTAGTAGCTGGTACATAGTGTGGAATTAACATGTGATTACTGAATGGTGTGATAACAGAGACCCTCACTGCCCTGGTTTGATCAGAATGGAGGGGTTTTCTGGAATGTTGGGATTTCAGTGCAAAAATTGAGGTTGGTCACCTTCAGTGAGTATACTTACTTCTTGGTGGTTGACTTCTTATCCTTTATCTCCATGTTAGTGGCTATTGACCCCAAGATTAGGCAGCATGCTGGACTGGCTGCCCAAGTATTTTAGGTGACTCTGGAAGTTTGGAGCTCTGTTGACATATGTGCTTCCCTGAGCCTGGACTGATTCCTACAAGTATGGTGCAGGTTTGGTTTCATCATCAGCTGGTGGTTCTTATGTTGGCCTATCGTTCATCTACAAACTATCAGACCATATCTACCAGAGCCCTAGTAATTTCTACCATGTTCCCTTGGGCCCCCTCCACACTTTGCTCTCGCTCTCCTTTCCTCCTAGCCTCAGTCTGCAGTCAGATTTGAAGGGCTTGTTTCGCTGTTGTCTCTTTGCTGATTTCCACTTGCTGTGTGACTGGAGACATTTAGAGCCCCTTTCAGGTGAGATATGGGTCCCAGTGACTTGGCCTGGTGGTCGGTGGTAGGTCCCTCCCCCTAACCAGGACTTTTGCTCCTAGAATAAAGGCTCTGAGGCTAAGCACAGGGAAAGGCCCTGTTCTCAGTTCAATCTCACCAACCCCCAGTCCTGGCTATTAAAGCCTCATGAAGACCTGATTATGACCAAGTGCCACTTCCACAGAACGACAGCAAGTATTTATTAATTAAGTTGACAGCCACAGATCTTTCTACATACACTTCTATAAATGTCTGAATTACATTTATGACTGTGAAGTGAGTTCTCATTTTAAACAACCTTTCCCTGTAATGTTCCCAGAGGGTACACAATTCTAAAGGAAGTTGCACAAATCCATTTTCAATTATGGTAGCAAAGCTCCAATCTCAATTAAATCCTGTTGGGTTCCTGGAATTGGGGGTGAAGTGGCTCCTGAGAGGCTCCCAGCACTTGTAGTAGTTCTCATCCAAACAATTGCAGGTCTTGAGGCCCCACTTGGTGACGGCCATACTTAGAGATGATTCAAACATAAATGCCTGTAGGAAATGAGGTTAGGGAAGAAGAATAGGAGATGAAGTGTATAACAAAATACATTTGATTAGATGTCAAGAGATAGGTGTCAGAGAGAAGATGTGAGTAGGCAGAATCTTTGCATAATAAACCACATGTGCTAATAGGAGGAGGGCCAACTCATTCCTCATAGCCTCAATTCTGTAGTTAGACTTGAAGGTGTTGGCTCTTCACTGATTTGTACTTGCCGTGTGAGGCTAGTTTTTAGATCCCTTCTCATGTGAACTATGGGTGTTGTATCAAGTTCATTACCTCAAGCTGGAATAAGGTAAGGCATGAAGATGGGTCTGAGTTCAAGTTATAGCATGAGAAATCATGAGGGAGACCCAAAATTAGGACTAGGTGAAGTGTTGGGCCTTCAGTTACCAGGTTGTTTGGGCTCATTGGCTACCCAGCCCCCAGCTCCCTACATAGGAGACACCTCTCTGTCCAGGCCCTAGACATTACTGAGACAGGTACTTCATTAAAAACACCACTCCCCTGTGCCTTACTGTTACAGAACACTGCTCCCTGGTAACAATGATTATCAAAAGTCAGGTCCATCACACCAGTTGCAACTCTGGGGTGCTTGTGCACCTCAGGGGCACTGAGAAGGCAATGATTTAACGAATCATTACACTTCATCTCATAGGACATAGGAATTCTGCAGAAACCCCGCAGAGTCATCTGTAGGATAAATCAAAGCAAGGTCAAGCAAATGGGACTCTGCAACCTTCTACCCTCAGAGCAGCTCCACCTACTCCAGTTGGGGCTGGAAATGAGAGCAACTTCATTTAGACAGAGGGTCACAGGTAATCTGCAAACTGCATGGAGTTAGGCAGGTCTGTGTTACTGATTTTAAAGTCCAGTAGCATTGATGGCATTTGTTTTAAAATGTAAAGCAAATTTGCATCTGATTTAGCATAAAATTACTCCTTCTGGTCCATAAACTCAATCTCCAGGAAAGCAAAAATAAAATAAAATCAAGTACCGCAGCCAACTGCAATTGTGTTTGGCTTCAATGTTTATAGCCTGACACAGAAGGAATACAAAACAGGTTTTAAATCCCATCAGTTTCATCCCATGCCAACAAAGAGCAAAAGAAAATGAGAAAACAGTTGAGAATTGCTGCCCAAAGCCCTGCTGACTGTAGTGAGACAAAGGCTTGCTGACCCAGCCCCCTCCTTGACAAATCTGGAAACTGTGACACCTACACCCCTGCTACTGCGGCCCTAGGGGATTGCTTTGGGGTTTAAAAGGAGATGCCTCAGAAACAAAACATATACACAGGGCTACTTACAGTTGAGGAGAGACCCCCCCATGTAGTATTAGTAATCTCTGTTTACATTTGAATATGTTGCACAGTCTCTAAAGTTAAATCACAACCATCTACTGGGTTGGATAACATACTCATTCCATAGACGTGAAGCAAAGCACAGAGAAGGTAACGACTTGTTCAATGTCACACAGGAGCTAAGAACTAGGATTTGAACTCATGTCTGAGTAAAAGCCCCAAATCCTTTCGACCCTGCTCCCTCTGACAGTCTAGCATGCATGTAGGGGTGAACAGGTACACACACAAACACACTGTCTCTTGCCCTGATTCCTTCATTGTGATTTTGGAGAAATAGAAAGTAGTTATTATTTTATTTTTTTTAAAGAAGGTTGGGAAGCTCAGAGGTTGGGAAGCTCAGAGGTTATCAGAGCTGGGAATGTAAGTTGCTTACCATGGTGCCATCTGCAACCCTCTCTGGTTCCAGTTTGGCTTTGCTGGCCTTCTCAAAGCAATCGTTGTCAGGACCATGGGGAGTCATTGTGCTGTGCAGGCTGCCTCCTCCAGGCAGGAACCCGCCTTCCTTTGCCTCATAGTGACCTTTGATGAGGCCCATGAATTCACTCATGCAGTTTCCTGGAAGTTGGAAGTAATGTTATTTTTTTTTTTTTAAAAATTTTTTATTTATTCATACAGAACTGGGGTACAGGCCAGAGGCTCAGGGGCGGTGAGAGGCTTCACCAGGGACAGAGTGGGGAGCAGAACAGGCAGATTGACGAAGTACACTGCTGAGGGAAGCAGCGAAGTACACTGCTGAGGGAAGCAGCGGGCGGGTCAGGAGAGGTCTGGCTCGCCATGTGGTCTCCTCCGGGGCAGGCGGCAGGCGGGAATCGAACTCATGCGGAAGTGGCCTCAGATTCTCAGTGCTGTGCTTTAACCCGCTGCGCCACCAGGGAGGGCCGGAAGTAATGTTATTTTTACTACCCAAGGCAAGATCCACAAAACACCAAGATCCCTCAAATATTATTTCCATGGTATCCCAAGAAGAGAGGAGAATCTGATAAGTTGGTTAGGAATCATAAGGAATATAGATTGATATAACTACTACAAAATACTGATTAGAATGGAATCGTTGGTAGGCAAAACTACTTCATGGCCCTGTGAAATATCAAAGGTCTTGAGATCTACTGTTTGAAAGAAATCTAGAGTTAAAGAAAATCATGGGCCTATAATAATTTTAATTATAATAAAATACAAGTCATAATACATAGTGGATCATCTCGGCTTACCAACATTATCTTTTTTTTTTTCTCAGATTTGAACCCTTTCCCAATATTCCCACAGAAGTACATAACATCACCACATTTCTGGTTCCCAATTTAGAAAAATGAAGTGTGTGTGTGTGTGTGTGTGTATGTGTATGTTGATATAATGAAAAGAACCCAGGGCTTGTCGGCCATTAGCAATTGATAATATGTGAAAAGTTCTTAGTATCTGTAAGCCCAGTTCATAAATGCTATAGTCTAACAAATTTGGTCTAGATCTGAATGTGATATCATCTTATTCTTCAAAATGACTCTTAGATTCTTTTTTCCTTTCTATTAACATTGACATTTACTTTATAGAATCCTAAAATCTTAATATGGGAAAGGCTCCTACTTCCACTCAGTGCAAAAGAACTTTCTATATTATACCTGAATATTTCTCCGGGTTTTTTCCTATATGCCTCCTGTGAATGGAAGGTCTCCATTCAACAGAGCAATCTATCATATTATTAAAAAGCTCTGGGTGTTAGAAAGTTCTCTTATATTAAAAGGAAATTTGCTTTCATATAAGTTAAATGTATTGGTCCCAGTTGTCCTTTCTGGAGTCATACAAAATTTGACAAAAATCACCTTGTCACCACTATTTCAATCTTATATTTTATTGAACTAAAATAACAACACATTTAGACAAGAATTTAAAAGAAATATAGCACCTGAGTAAATAAAAGTGACTTTCTAGCTATCACCCCATGTACCTACCAATTCATTAATTTGTCCATTTCCCATCCTATACATATGCCTATACCCAACAATCCAACATATGTAATTAGATGCTGTGCTAAGTACTGCAGGAGAGAAATCACCTCCCTAATGTTGCTCATAGTCTGTCTGTGAGAATGCTGAGAGTGGAAAACATAGGCAGAGAGATGTGGCGGTGGGAGCCCTTGCAAAGTCAGACATTTCACATGCTAGGCCCACCCCTCTTCCTGGCATGCCAAGTCTAACCAAGTACTGAAGTCCATCTGTAACTGGCTAAGCACACAGACCCTCTTCGCCTGAAAACAAAGTGCTTCTGCAGGAAAGATAAGGCTCAATTAACTACCTGTTTCTTCGTGAAGCAGAAATAGAGGAAAAGACGTAACTCCTAGCATAAGTATCTGTATTTTAAAGGCAGTTCTTCTCATCATATATGCTACCACACTCCTCAGGGTCACCTTCATGCTTTAATTTTAAGAAGAGACCAAGACAGAATTCAGCTTTGATCTGAATATGAATTTATGGAGCAATGAGTTTGGTGATGACATTTCTACATCATTTTCTATATTTCAAAGAACACTGGGGAGGGCAGACCTCGCCTTTCTGATTAATGTTGAACCCAGTTGACTAAGGTAACTTAAGATGACTGGAGGCAATATTTCTACAGAAATAATTCTCTACTTCTACAAAGTCACATCAAGGTAGCAAAGATTTTGACTATTGCCAAGGTAATATTTTTAATATTTCTGATAAAAATAAGTTTGAACTTGGGGTCCTGCAGTTTTTCCATGGATGTCAGGGTCAGCATCCTTTCTGAGATCTATTTATTCTGGGACAAATTTACTTGAAAGTCTTTTTAAAAAAATTTAAGAGGCTTTTTATTTCTTTAAGAGTCATTTACAGGCTGTTTGTCTCATTAGTCTAAACTACAAACCAGAATCAATGAGTAGGTTAACGGCTGCACAGGGGCAAACTTCCCCAAGACAGACTAGCGTGCTACAGGGCTGAGGACAAAGCCTCGCCAGCTGGGCCCAGAAATCTGTTTTAATGAGTCCTCCAGATGATTCCGACACATATTAAAATTTGAGCACTGCTACCTCAGGCACATAGAGCTGTTGGCAGAGCTATTGCATGACCTTGACTGGCATCTGGACTTAGATACGAGAAAGCACATGTTCTTGGAGGACCACTCTGGAGTGCCAGGTCTGAGCTCCAAGAATGTGAGAAAATAGGTCATGTGACCAAGTAGCCACATCTGAGAAAGATAGTAAAAGAGCATATCAAGAGAAGTGTCCAGGTGTGTGTGAGGGCGTGGCCATCTGGGGCTGGACACAGTGTTCCAAGAATTAGAACACCAGATACAAAGTTAGAATAATATGCTGTTGTTACTTCTTGAGACTGTCTAGACGGTTTAAGTCAATAGGTTATTGTTTCAGCTTGTTAATGTAGAGTATATTAAGAGCACACTGCACAATAAAGATTCACTGCGTGCTGGACATAGCAGTCATCCCTCTGGTTCGTCCTTCACAGGTGCACGCCAGGTCCCGGACCCACTAGAGGCCCACAAAGAGTAAACTCGGTACAGGAGCTCTGTGAAACAGTGAGTTATGAAGGACTAGCATTGGCAGTTTCAGGTCCTAAGCCAGAGCGCTTTCTCTCCTTCATAACAGGTCCTCCAGGGTTAACTTCAGGAGAACAGGTAGGGCCTGGCATGGACTGGGCATGCTCATAAAAGGCAGAGTTTGTTATGACCCTAGACCCAGAGCAACTGGTATCTTTGCAGTGGTAGCTGATTGTACCCTTTTCTCTGCCATAGTGGGATTGCCTAAAAAAGTTGGTACTGGAATTTCAGCAGGAAGAGGCTTTTCTTCCATTCTGAGACCCTCACTTCTCTACTGTCTACAAATGCCTCAATTTCCCATTCACTGCCCTGTTGTATCCTGGCACCTAGGAGCCAGTACATAGTAAGAGGAGACTCATATAGATAAGAAGGCCTTGAGGTTAACTAAGGAAAGGAGTTTGTTTTTCAGAATGTTCCAGCTGAAATACACCCCAGAGTCTTTCCAGAATTCTATATACAAAAATAGAGCTTCTAGGAAGCAGAATTGTACATTGCCCTTTAGGTTGGATTTATAGCTAGTTACTGCATAATGAAGCATGCCAACCTCATTAAGTACAGTCATGAAGTGACATCTCAAAGATGCCTTCACTTATTAAATAAACATTTAATAGATGCATATTGAGTATGAGGCAATGTGCTAGGTACATCAGTGAGTGTCCATTCTGAGGCAGCAGATTGCCTTCAACTAAATCCTGACTCTACCACTTAACTAGTTGTGAACCTTGAACAATTAATCTTTCTTGTCTCAATCTCATCTACTGGAAAAAAAAAGGTGGGGGATAAGGACACTACCTATCCTCTACAATTGGATAAGGATTAAAGGAGCTAATCCTTTTAAAGGATTTAGTCACAAAAAATGGTCCATAACTGTAAGCTGTTAGTAATAACAATATGAACAAAATAAAAACATTAGATGTGGTACATCCTGATGAGATGGCTAGAAATCAAAAACCAAAATGGAGCCAGCCACATTGAATCTGAGTGGACAGTTGAGGTTCCAGGGAGAGAAAGAAACCAAGCCAGTGACGAGACTGCTGGGGGCTGAAACTCAGTCAATCACCAGACAGACTTCACCCAATTTGCACATTTTTATGCTAATTGGAACTTGATGGACTCCAAACCTACTTTGTACACCAGACCTGAGGGGAAATTGTTGCTCTGTCTCTGTATATAGAAGTCCCCACTAATTCCAGGGCAAACTGGAACACAATTCAAGCACTTCTTAGGTCTGTGTCTCCTGGGTTGCTATCCTAAAGTCCAAAATAAACCCCTTTTCTTGATTCCAGCTCTACCAGGCTTTGGTTTCTTGGTTCAGATGGATAACAAATATTCCACAGAAACTGCTCCCTGAATAGAACCCACCTCCCAGTATGGACTGAAGTCTGCTTCACCAAATAATTGGAGAAGGCATATTTTATTGATTTTTAGGTAGTCATGAGCTTTCCAAAAACGGCAAACCAGCAACATAGCACCATTCCCCCCAAAGAAGAATTTGAAATGTAAGGAATCTTCTTGCTTCACACTTTATAACACTTTCTGCCTCTCTCAGGGCCAGAGGAACTGGACCCTCGCCATTATGAGGTGTTTCCTTCCCAGAGTTAACACATCACCATATTAGCATTGTGGTATTGAAGCAGCTAAAGGTTGGGACAGCACTGGAAGGGGCTAGAGAGGAAGGAAGGACATATCTGGTACAGTAACCTGCACATATATACACAGCACAGGCCGTGTGGATACACTGTAGGACTAATGATTTGTTTTCTTTAAATGAAAACTCTTGCTTTAAAATGAGATTCCTGCCCCGATGATGCCTGAAGGGATGAGACCATCAGAACCAAGGGCGAGATAAGCCAGATGCTGGTAAGCTCTGGGGGCTGAATGTAACAAATACCAGAAACATCAAGTGTAATGTATGTTATGACTGTCTTTGTCTAACCATTATAAAAAGCTCAGTAGAGATGAGAAGGCAGAACAGTTCTGTCAGGGTGTTATGCCCATTCTCTCAGGTCACTGCTTAGCAATCTGAGAAAAACAAAGCATTTATAGATTCATTTCTTGTCTCTGTTCATTGGCTTTATGGTAGCGACAGGCAGCACCAGAACCCAGCCCATCCAGCAACAGCACTGGGCTTTAGATAATAGGATCCTGAACTCCCACCAGGGCCGGGTGTCCAGAAACACTTCAGCAGTATTTCTGATGGGTGATGCTTGCTGCCTTCTTGCCTCTTTGCTTTGCTTTCTAAGAATGGCTTGGTGAAGGAGAGACTTACTGTGGTAATAAGGAGGCCTGAAGGTCTTATCAGCAACCCCCCAGCGAGGTGGAAAGATGACGAAATCAGCGATGGCTACTCCAGGGCGGAGAGATTTGGCTGTCAACACAGTGAAAATGGATGGGTCCTGTGAAAGCACAAGGGAGACTGAACACAGAGAGAAAAGGCGGTGACTGAACAGTGCCACAATGTCCCCCGCACACCAAGGTGTTTTTGAGTGACACGGTTTCTAATTAAACCACACAGGCCAGGCTAAGAAGTCTGGGCTTGTCAACAAAATGCAGTAATCACTCATCTGATTTCCCCTCTTGCTGTGCTTGAAGCAAAGTGAATTAACACCAGCTAACAGGATTCTGAGTTGCTTTTTCACCCTGCTGAGGCCCCATTTCTGAAAGAACTACCTGGGGTCTGAGAGCCAGTGGTGCCTGCTTCCCTGCCTCAGCTCAGAGTGAGAGATGGGAGGTGTTACAGGGACCTCTCAGCAGAGGATGCTGGGAGTAAGGTTGAAATAAAACAAGGTCTAGGTTTTGGTATAGGTGTGCTCCTCTGGGGGGAGGGGGTAATAAGATTCCAGATTGTATCTTCAGGCAACAGTTCTTACAATTGATCCACTGCTTTCTTATCCATATTTGACTCTCAGATGTAAAATACACCACTTACCTCACTAGTTTTGGTGGTAGTGTACAGAGGAACAGGTTGGGGGGGACAATACTATTATTTTTAAAAAACTTTAGAATCCTTCAGTGAAAACGTTGGGATTGGGTTTAATTGAGGTCAGTAATTATGTTTGCTTTTGGCTGTCATGCTGGAGCTGGGATTCAACAATGCTTGAAGGGCTCTTCCTTGACCTTTCAGCATTATTGTCAGTGGTGGTGACTGAAGGAGGGCCAGTATTTATAAAACAGGTGCATGAAAACATATTACATCAATGTGCCATGGGCAATCCAGCCTTCAATAGAGCTCCAAGAAAGTACAAGGAAAAGAGTACCTATCTCATCTGTCAAGATCAGGGAAGGCTTCAGAGAGGAGGTGACATTAGATGTAGGTCTTAAGGAATGAGAAAAGAAAGTAAAAAAAAAGATGGGAGAGGAGGGTTGAAGGCAGAAGAGAAATCAGACAGGTAAAGTCACTTTCAGCACAGAGAAGACTTCAAAATGTAGAGACTGTTTTAAGAGGTAAGAAAGTAAAGCTCAAGTTTCTTGGCAGAAGATTGAGGGGCAAGAGGTGGTTCTCAAAAATGAATCCAGGGCTGGGTGGTGAAAAGTATAAGATACCATGCTTCAGAACCCAGACTTAATCCTAAACCATGGGGTATCCACAAAGATTTTCCAATTCAGTAGTAGAATGATCAGATTTGAATTCTGGAAAACTAATTGTATAGAGAAGATTGAACTTGTGTAATGTGAAACAAAAGCCAGACATTATTGCTGTGAGGGTTAAGACATACTCATCTGTCATGAGAAATGATCTGAAACTATTAAAGAAAAGGTAGTGAGGTGGCTTCCCTGGTGGTCTAAGGGTTAAGTCTCAGTGCTGTCACCATTGTGGCCTGAGTTCAAATCCCAGCCAGGGAGCTAACCCACATATGGTGCAGCAGACCTCTCCTGTCTTGCCCGCTGCTCCCCTCAGCAGTGTATTTCAGTAGATCTGCCTGTTCTTATCCCCTCTCTGTGCCTGTGAATCCTCTCACACACCCCAACCCTACACCTCTGGCCTAGACCACAGTTTTTCTATGTATAAATAGATGAATATTTAATAAAAAGCAGTGAGCCTCAACTGCATCTGTATCAGTGTTTTAGGATCCTTCTTTATGCTATTATGGGATTAATGCTTCATTTTCTTTTTCCCTTTAGTTTTATTAAGAGTAGTTGCTCTTCAGAATAGTAGTTTTGTTACCCCAGAAATAAGATGAATCAGCTCAGACATGCTTCTATCTCTGGTTCTCTGGCTTCTGCCCTAATTATCTTTTCAGCTGTGGTTAAAGTTTATTATAAACTAGGCTTCAAAATGAGCTTTTCCCCTAGGATCTCAGAACTAGCACTTTATCACGAATGTGGGGCCTCGGGAGCTTGCACTATAGGCCAGAGACCTAATGGTGACTCCCCTCTCCATTGAGTCCAAGCTCATACTCTAGAATTTCTTTGGTTTAAATTCAAGCACTGAACATTACAAAAAACTTCAGTAGAGGGTTGTCCTCTCCATCACTGCTAAAAACAGCAAGAGCTTGTAGATTCAATATTTGTCAGCAGAACAGAGAGCTTTCCAAATCCAGAATGGTCTCAGCACGCCATCACTAACATTAGCAGTTGGTTTTCTTTTAGAGATAGATTTTTCTGTGCAGAAACTAATTTTTTCCTCATTTATGAGAGTTGCTATGAATGGTTGTGTGGGAACAATTATGTTCAGGGGTGAGTGTTACTGTCAGCTATGATATGGCCCCTCATCAGCTATGATATGTCATCAGCACAATAATAAATGACTATATTTTGGGCTTCTGAGGGTAACACCAGAAATGTTAAATCTGTGAATGTCAGACTGAATGTTTTCTGTGGAACCCTCCCAACCTAGGTTTCCCATGCCCCCAGGCTACTCCATGATCCAGACTTACTGCATGATCAAAGGCCACAGCGTTGATGACCATGAAGTTCTTCAGGTCATACTTGTATGGGGTATAGTTTCCATGCCAGGCCACAACATTGAAAGGGGAGACATCCTGATCACACACACATACAAATAAAAAAATAAATAAAAACAAGATAAGAATGACCCTATACCTAATGTTTGTGTTGCTGTGGTTCCATAGTTTGTACTTGGTACCCTATTGTCTTTTGATTTGATTTTATTCTGATAATTTTATAAGACCATCATTTGGGAGAAGTATACCCTGGATCCATCCTGTGGTCACTTCACATGCCCTTAGCTGCCCCCTCGTTTTGTCACTGACCCAATTTCTCCAGTTTAAAAGCTGTACTTTAAAATGTGCAGCAGAGCATAGCACAGTCTCCTAGTAGTGCCTTTTCAACAATTTCTGACACAGTTGGGAGAATCTGTGGATGCCAGCAGTTCTCAGCCAATCTGGACCATTTTCTGGTTTCCTGGTGTGGAAGACAGACACCTGCCTCCAGGTAATAGCTGCCTAGAGGGACTTCTGATAGACACATGCCTGGGTTGGGAGTACAGAAGGGCAACAAAGTCTCTCAGAGTTGTAGCTCCCAAGACTGGAGTTTTCCAGCAAACCTCAGGTGGTGCTTCTTGTGCCTGCCTTAGAGGAGAGGATCACTGCAGGAAGATAGTGGGCACTGCAGCTATGGGTCTGGAAACAGAATCCAACTCAGAACTTTCTAATGACTTTAATGAAGAGATACTCACAAAAGTTTGACTAGGGTTAAATAAACTAGCTAGAGATGGCGAGTTCCTGAGCCTCGCAATATTGTCAGACATTGCCACTCTAGGTCTGTGGGAAATATTGTCTGATTTATAGCAGTTGCAGATTTCTGGGGCATGATTTCTCTTCCTATGATAAATTTTTAGCTACTAGTTGGATGCTCCTGAACACAGAGTTGGGATGAAGTATGTCTATCAGTTCTTGCAAGCCAGTAAGAAATGGCTTCCAGCATGCTACTGGGACCACCCAACAGAAGTGGAGTCACGAAGGGAATCAGTCCCATGCAGGTAGGATGCAGAAGAAAGAAACCCCAGCTTGTCTTTCTTCCTGCCTCCCATTTCCTAAGTACATCCCACTGGTTAACTCAGCCAAAAGAGGGCTGGCTAGGGAGCCAGGGGGATGCCTCCCAGAGCACAGATCATGAAAGAGGAGGAAGAGTGGATCTGGGGGAGCTCACCCAAAGAATCACTTGGGAAATAGGTCCATCTACTGCTAGCTGCTTCTACAATATGGTTCTATTGCAACTATATGTAAAAAATAAGATGGAGATATGCTGATATGATTATAGATTTTCATGACCCATTCCCAGGGATTATCATTTTTGCCAGACTGGTGTAGTAGCTAAAGATTTGCATTTTAAACAAGTATCCCTGAGAATTTCTGATGAAAATGGTCCCTAAACTACATTTTGAAAAATCCTGATCCAGAGAATATGAGGGTAACAATGTGTCGGTGATGGTGACAGTGACATTTCAAGGGTTAATTTTAAGTACTAGTTGACCTCTGCTGGTTAGCATACTTTCTAGATGTTGTTCAAGGAAAATAGCATGCCTTGGTAATATGTAAGCAGTAGTTCAACCTGGTAAAAAATAAAGCAAACAAATATTGATAAATTGAAGACATATTTGGCTTACTTTTATTATGGGTTATTTTAACCTAATGTTATTAATATTATAATATTTTAATCTAATATGTATACTAAGTGATAATGTAATATATGCTAATATAGTATACATGTTATTATTATTTTCTATGTCCTTTTTTATCTTCTGAGTTTATGAGGCTGATGGTATAAACCAAGTCAAGCGAATTGGTGAAATTCTATTTGCTGTGAATCAATCATAGCTTGTATTACAAATATGGAGGCCACTGATGAATGTCAACACTAGATGATCTCCATTAACCTGTTTCTCTCCACTTAACACATTTCACTGCCTGTAACTTATACATTAGGTTTTCAATGCTTGTTGAATGGACAAAGAATGACTTTTGGAGACAGATTATGTATTTGCTGACAGGTTATGTGTGTAAATCTATCATTTACTATGACATTCAGTAAATTAGTTGTCACTGCCTCGCCTATTCTCTGACTACAAGTAAGGAAAACAGTATTTTATATCTTTGTGGTGTGGTAAAGATACAAGAATTAAGCATTCAACACTGGTTCTTGGTAATCAGTCGGTGTTCAATAATGATTCAGCCTTACCCTTACCTGTAACCCTCTTACTTTACCTGTTTGGCAGCAAACAGCTTGCCCTGGTATTTATTAATCACTGTGTAGCCACCAGGCACTTTGCGATCTTCATACCAAGCAACAGGTATCAGGAAATCGCGAGGATTGGCCAAGCCATTGGCTCCTAGAATAGATGATCCCAAAGTCTTTTAGAGATTTGTGAAGTTCACAGAAATCTGCCCAAGAATGTACACAGAGAAAGGGCTTTCTCCTGCATCAAAGGCAATTCCACAACTTGCTTTCATTATTGAAAGACCTGGTACCCTTTTAGGAGACCCCAAGGAATTTGATGGAGAAAAAAAAAATCACAAAAATATCACCTCCAGCATTACCTTCTAAAGTTATAGAGTGAATATGATCCAGAATCATTTTACATGCATTATCTCATCACTATAGATGGGAGGAGGAGAGAAGAGAAAGAAACTAGAAAGGAGTAGAGGGGAAGATATGATAGGCTATTAGGTCTTTCCCCCCAAGATAACTCTGATCACTGAAACTCCTCTGCAGCCCCTGGAAAGAAGGTTATATACTCTTGCCCCGGGCATTCCTCTGCTTCTCAGACAGAACCAGAATCAATCCAAGCTTATAAAAGTGTTCTGCCACCTGACAAATCTGTCTGCCACTGAGGGAGAAAGTATTCAGGACTTGCCTGCTTACCTGTGCTTTGCAAGTGTTCCCTCCAGAGAAAGAAAATAAATCAAAAGACCAAAAATGAAAAGCATCAGTGCAAAAACATAATTTAACTCTGAGAGGAGAGACCTGGGGAGTGTTTTTCATTTCCAGCTCCCAGGGTTAAAAAAAAATAAGCCCCCAGCTGGTTAGTAAATTATATATATTTTCCAGAGGGTATGTGTTCCATGAAACCTGGAGGCTCTGCTGACTGGAGCAGCAGGAAGCCAGACCAAAGTGGGAAGAGCGGGTGGTGAGCAGGATGACAGACGGCCCACCACGGCTCCAGCTGCCTCTCTGCTGCCTCCCACCTTCCTCTGACTATTTGGATCCCCCCAGGGGAGTGACCAAAAGGCACATGCTGTCCTGTCCCTGTTTTGCTCTGAAAAAGCTGTTGACAAGGAAGAGAAGAAATGGGAGGTGTGGCCACCACCTTCAGCAAACACGCCAAGATGAAACCAAGGGCCAATTTCCCCAACCACTCCTTTCACTCCAAGAGATGTTTTGAGAACAGCCCCTCCTACCACCTTCACTTCTCTCCTGAATCTCCTGCCTCCAGAAGACTCGGGGGTGGGAGGACCTTGGTTCACTTTTGAAAGTTTTAATCTGCCTCATGGAAGCTGTGGTTTCCAGCTCCTCCACAGCAGAATAAGGTACCTTTTTTGACTGTGTGGGGTGTAGGTTTTGTGGCATGTGCTCAATGGAACGTGAGGTTGGTAGACTATGAGTCTCGCAGTCCATATTCCCTATTCATGGTTTTTCTACTTTTTGCCTACGCACAACCCCTGACTTAAGAAAACGATCTCTTTTCTCTTCAATAAGCATTAACTTAGGCTGCCCCCTTTCTCTTTATTGTTCCCCAGTGTGTCATCAAGAATTAGTCAAATCTGATCTCAGTAATCCAGACTTCATTATCCTTTAAGGGGGATACTGGACGTTCAGAAGTCTAAGATAAGCTGTCTTTTTCGCCATAGGTCTAGATACTCTTTTAGAGAGACTTACAGTGGGTTGGTTTGGCTCATTTTCTTTTATGTGTGTATTTTATGGGAATAATCTCGTGTTACCCTTGATGAGATTTCTGTCACTACTCTTGGCACAGCATGAGAGCTAAGACTAGCTGCTGAGCTGATATACTGATGAGCTGATTGATGAAGATTTCAGTTCCACAGGTGGGACATCCCTTTGAGTGGGACCCCTGAACTTAGAGGTCTGAAAAGAAAGTATGGGAGTTCCAATAGCTTTCTAAAATTCCCAAGTACATGTGGTCTATAGAAGAAATTGTCAAGGGCCCTCCCTGTGGCACAACAGGTTAAAACACAGCATTATGAAACTATTAGCAGCCACTGCAGCACAAGTTCAATCCCCAGCCAGGGAGGTGACCCATATGGTGCAGCAGGCCTCTTCTGTCTAGCCCACTGCTCCCCTGAGCAGTATCTTTCAGTAGATCTGCCTGTTCTGCTCTCTACTCTGTCTCTGATGAATCCTTTCATCCTACACCTCTGGCCTGTACCCCAGATTTTGTAGGTATAAATAAGTCTTTAAAAAAAGGGAAGAAATTGTCTAGAGAAGACAAAGTTGAGTGAGATATTGAGGAGCAAAGGATGTGTCATCTTAGCTGTGTCATCTATCTCTAGTGCGGTTTAAAGATTTGTAGTAAAGGTTTACCAATTGGTCCCAGGTCAGGCAACTCAAAGTGGACACCATAGACCTCCAGGATGTAGCCCCTGGTCTCCTCAAAGACATCTATGCTGAACCGCATTCCTCTCTGAAACAGGAAGTAGACATGGGTATATTCTCTCAAATCATGGCTGTACTTGTAAAGAAGCCACCCCAGAATCACAGTCAGCCCCACGTGCAAAAGTAAAGCTATAGTCTGTTGAGCTATATTGGAGAGATGAAAGTTCAGAGATCAGCTGGAAGGGAAAATTTAGCTCCTAATCACATCTGTGAGCCAAACAAATGCTAGTTTAATCTCTTACAGGGTCAGAGATGATAGAGCCCTGATACAGTGAAAATTTATCTCTATCTTTACTGCCTTAGACCCCATCCAGGGAATTAAGGCCTTATGCAGATGGTGTACAGATAGTTAGGAAAGTGAGTTGACAATGCTCTTTACTTTGTGACTGTGTGCTATTTTAAAACAAAGAAGGCTGCCTTTTTGCTCCCAAGTCTGCTTACCCTTTTGCACAAGGAGTCTTCTATGTAAATCCAACTCCCTCCCCATTGCCCAGACATGACAGAGAAATTTTAGAGTTGGAAATAGCAGCAGCTGCAACATCTGATTGCTCCCAAATTAGGGAGAGGCAGGGAGGAGAGGGGACACATCACCAACCTGAATGACGCAGATTTCATTGGGTTGCACAAGCATCTTGCCAAACTCTGTGTAAATGAGAAGTTTCCCTTTCTGGGGAACTAACAAAAAACACAGGGCATCAGTGAGCAACTCTTTTCAGATGAGAATCACTTCATGAGTAAGAGATTTAAGGGTTGCATTCACTATTTCATTCCATATGAAAAAGTCTTTATTAATTCTCAGGGGAAAATGTATCCTCTGACAACTTAGGTTAACAATTTTCCTATCTAGAAGAACAAGAATGAAAAATTTGACTAAACTTGTATTTGGCTGCCAGGCAAGGAGCTTACATATGCATGAATTCTGGGGTAGGGAGTGACCAAAAAGAGCAGCAGAAAGAGGATGGAAAATCATCTATATCTGACAGTTACAGCAGGAGGTAGACATTTGCCTTTCTGGTAATTACATCAAAATGTTGACTCCAAAATATTGATAATAAAACCATCAAATGGAATAGGAAGACCCAATAAATCTTTAATAGCTATTCCATTTTGGATGGTTTCATGAAAATTTGTACTTATATTGAAGATACCTGCAATGGGTATATTAGGTGGATTTGAAGACAAATAGAGTTAATCACATATTAGCATTACTCCATTTATTTCAAACTGGCCAGTCTTCCTACATCAGAGAGGCCCAGAAGAGATAATCAAAGACAGAGAGAACAGGAAATAGAGTTGGGAGTTTGAGGTATGCTAGAAATCTTTTGCAAACTATCAATGGCCTCTAGACTTCAGTCTATAATATTCCACTATATTACACAGATTGAAGGATTGAAGGATGAAGGAAAATAATGTGTATATAAAAGCAGCTTGTTACTATGAATTAATTCACAAGGAGGAGATCTGAAATCTCCAAACTTACCAATCAAGAAGTCCCCATCTGAATTGTAAAAGCATCTATAAACAAATAGAACAATTCTTGTGATTATTAGTTCTAACACTTTTCAGACAAAATAATTCACTATGCAAATATTTTAGTACCTACCATGTGCCAGCCTTTATGCTGGGCATGAAAAGGTGAACAAAAATGACCCAATCTCTACCCAGCTTAGAGTCAAGCAGGAAATCAGACAGCAATAACATAATTACAGAATGATATCATTGCAAATGCAATGGCACAATCAAAGTCAGGTTTAGGGGAATGAAAGAATAATGGACCTGATCTATTTGGAGATGTCAGTAGACTTCCCTGAAGAAGGGGTTTCTGAGTTGAGATCTAAAGGCTATTTAGGCAAGGGTTGGAGAGAGGGTAGGTTCCAGGCAGAAAGAATAGCATGTACGAGTTGTCTGAGGCAAAACAAAACATGGCGGACTAAAAGAGCTGAATGGAAGATGGTGTGACTTTAGAGAGAGGAGGTGAGTTGGTAGGAGGTTGGACCAAGGAGACATCAGTATTGTCAGAGGTCTGTGATCTTGACCCTGATTCATGATTCAGAAAGGTAAAGATCTGTCTACCTTCACTTATCCTGGAAGAACAGAATTAGGTTTTAGACATGAAGGTCTGATTCCAGTGGTAGTGTGCAAAACAGCTATGATATTCTGCTTCCCAAAGAAAAGTCAGGAATGCCATTTACTAATGCTTTTCTGATTAAAAAAAAAATCCAACAGGTAAGCTCCTTGTGTAGGACATTTAAGCTTATACAGAGTTATTACTTAAAGCCAAAATCTGACAGGTCAACCAGCCACAACAAGTGGCTCTAGTGGTGGTTCATCGAGTATGGCTTTGGATCCACAGCCCTGGGGATCTCAAAAACTTTAGACTATTTTGACTAAAACCCTGTTAAAGTTCAATGCCTCTTGGACTAATCCTGCTACCCAGAACCCCATCATGCATTTTCTATATGCATTGTTATGTGACATTTCTTATTTATGTCACAGGAATCAGTCAAGAGAGAAATGCATCAGTGGTATCCACAGGATATCCAACTCTGCAGATGTCTGTCACATAAAATGGCATAGTACTTCATATAGTCTGTGCACACTTCCTGTATACTTTCATACCTAACAAAACATAAAAGCTATTTAAATAGCTGTGTTGTTCAGGAATAAATGACAAGAAAGCCTATACATGTTTATCACAGAAGCATCCACTGTAGGCCTGACTACATGGCAGGAATCTTCCATTTGTGGTTTGTTGAATCTGTGCCTGTGGGGCCCATGGAGATAGAAGGCCAACTGTGTTCATTTATTGTCATTATTAGTAAAGGTATAGCAACGTGGCTTGAGAAAAAGACAATAACAAACAGCAACCTCTGGTCACTAGCTCTGGAGAACAGGGACATCCTTCCTAGCAATGAGTACTTACCTGTCCCCCATTGAGGTATTACAGAGGAAAATATGGACAGCAAGCCCATTGCAAGACCTGATGTCTCCAGCTCCACACAAGGTGTGTAGACCCTGAGAGAGACCCAAGAGAGAAAAGGATGAGTGTGAACAGGGTCCAGACCAGCCCTTCTCATGGCCCCTGAGAACAGGAAGATCTGCCATGTTCTGTTATCAGTCACCAGGACATTTGGGATCCAGGCTGCTCTGGGGAGGCCAGGATTTACTGACTTCTGTTTGGTAGACAGTGGCTCTTCTATCTGCCAGTCATCGTTCTATGTCTGGATTCTCTTAATGTCCACATTAGATCACCTTACAGAGGATCAGTTCATTACTTGGCATTTACCAGTTTATGCTTATGATCAACCTGAAAAAGACTTTCCTTTGAGGGTAAAATCAGGTCCCTAGAAGGCTTGGGGAAGAAGGTTACAGCATTAGGGGCCAGAAAATATCCTTCAAATGTATCTCAATATGTGGACAGCCTTCTGCTTATAAATAGGGTAAGCACTAATCTCTCCAGAACAGGAGAGAGAAATGATTCTGGAATTGATATCCACATTCTAAGAAAGCTTAGCACATGGGTCATCTCAAATCAGCCCTCAACCCCAAACCTGCAGATGGAGTGTCCAAAAGGAGGGAGCTCTGTTTGTCCATATATTCATAATTCTTAGAGGGTAAGGAATTTCTTTATGTATTTGGGCTCAATTAGCAAGTTGATGGACTATTTCAATGAGTCATTGCAGGGTTTGGATCACTAATATGAATAAGAAATTCAATGGGATCCAACAATTTAGCCTCTGGTTAGGTACCAAGATGCTTGGTAAGTAAGCTGAGAGCTGAGGTGGTCAGCATACCCAGGCTTCTCTGAGCCCCACTCCCTCGGAGGTACCCTCCCCCTCCTCCTCTAGAGGATCCTGCCCTAATGCCAGTATTCCAATATTCCCAGTGCCCATAACTATCAGGCAGAACTTCTAATCAGCATTACACTAACTAGAATTGCCAGCTCAGTTGATGCTATTCTAACTCATAAGTCCATTTTGGGTCATTCTTGAACTTGGGTAAGAGAAAAATTATGTGTTTATTTTCACTAATTTGAGAAGTACCAATTAATTAATTTCAATTAATATGCATATAAGCAACCAGCCACAGTATTATTGGAAGTGCCTAAAACTTGGTCACTGATAGAAATCATTTGGCTTTCTTATCATTTTATAGTTACTACAGATGTCCCAAAATATTATTTATGCTCATAGTTCTAATAACTACAATTAGATCTCTTCCTACATTTGGGATTGAGTACATTAATAAGGAAAAATATATATTACTATAAATCAACCAAAACCTTTTTTGATAAGAGAGAAAGCCATATAGAAGTTTAATGTGTATGTAATAACATGTATATGTATGTAATAATATGTATTGGGTAACCTGGGAAGACTCAGCATGATTCATCCATGTGACTTAGACACCATCTTAAACAGCTTTACTAAGACAGGGGGAAGTGAAGGAAGAAAGGAAAGTCAACTAGGACATTTAGTGGGGAAAACAATCCAATAACGGGATTAGGTCTCTCTGAAATAGACAGTAACAAGTTTATACATAAGCAACAAACACAACTTTCACCCAATCTTTGAACCCTCTCATGAGCACAGCTATGCCAAAGATCTGTCTGGGGCTGGTAGATTACCAAATTCGATATTTTAGCATTTTATCATTGTTTGTTAATGGACTTTATAGTTTTGTGTAATTTTATGCATTTAAAAACATAGGCTTCACCTTCTTATGGAAGGAGCCCGTGGAATAAAATGGCTACAAACCCCCATTGTAGCCCCAAACAAAGAAGTCTGCAGTAGATGCTCAATTTCCACTGGCCATTCAGAGATGTGTAAACATCTCCTGAATGCCCTTGGGTGTCAGGGGCCATCTGGTACCTGTAGGATGCCCCTTGGCCAGCCTGATCGCAGAGACAGGTGGTGCCGTCTGCTTCTGGCCGCTCAGGCTGCTTCTGCCTGGCTTTCAGCCCGAACTGCTGCACCACTCACGTGGGAGAGAACAGAGGGAAGGTGTGGATGATATTGACTTACACTGACGAAGTCTACTTTCTTCTGAGATGCTTTTGGAATCTCAAATGGTTTCCATCTAAGCTGGAAAAAAAATACAGGAAAATTATTCCACAAGGGGAAACCGTAGACCCTCTAAATAAATAACATCGATCACACAGAAAAAGGACAGCTGCTCCCTCTGTGAGGCTCTGACTACTTGTGATTTTGTTATTTTAAAGTTAATAATCATCCATCATTTCCTTAAACGGGCTCTGCTGTGTTCTGTGGTGTGTCGTGTATACACACACACACACACACACACACACACACACACAGCTTTTGTTCCTTAGCTCTTTAAATTATAAAAATAAAAAGATCATTGCTTCTTATTTCAGAAGCTGTTTGTTTCCTTTAACATTTTGCTCAGGCACATCAGTGAGATGTGACTGATGGTGCTTTTCATGCTATTTATAATCAGCTCTCTTTCCTGGCATGCCAGCCTCTCTGTGTGGGCTCCTGACACTGCAGAGGAAGGTTCCACTTCTACTTCCAGCCCTTGGAATTTTGAATTATTTCTTTAAGAGAAAGAAAAAAAAAACACCCAGCTGAGAATGGATTTGGTTAATGCAATACCAGGTTCAGTTTTCTTCACCAAACCCTGCGTTTGTCCCCAGGCTGCCTGATGGTGCAGTTTAAATCACAACAATCTATAATTTAATAATGAAATGATTCAAGGAAGTGGGGAGAGAAACCAGCAGGCCCAGGCTCTACTCAAAGTGTCGGCCCAGCACTTAATCAACTTGGCAGCAGGCCTGCTGCAGCCAGCCTGGCAGCTGATATACCTAGTAGCCTCAGAACACACCTCACGGGGTGGCCTGTGCCCTGAGAGCTGGCTCTGTCGGCTGCAGCGCCTGGTGGAGACAGGCAGGCAGGGCCTCCATGGGCTGGTGAGCTCTGTTCATTCAGTGTTTCAGGAGGCAGCCAGATGGGAAGGAAACCGTACAGGGAAAGGGAGGAGTGGGAGCTATACTGACGCCCTGATGAACACAATAAGGCAACAGCCTCTGTCTTAAAAGCAGAGCAGGACTACTTTAAAAGATGGTATAATGTTGATTTAAAAAACAAAAACAACAACACCTTGGTGGCGCACTGGGTTAAAGCGTAGCACTAGAAGCCAGCTGCAGCTGCCGTGGCACCAGTTCGATCCCTGCCCCAGAGGTGACCCACATGGTCACCCATTGCTCCCCTCAGCAGTGTTCTTTGTCGATTTGTCTGTTCTGCTCCCTGTCTCTGGTGAGTCCTCTCACTGCCCCAATTCTGACTGCATAAAATAAACAAATCTTAAAATATCTATATATGTGAGTTTTTATATATATATATATGTGTGTGTGTGTGTATGTGTGTGTTTATATACATGTATATATAATATAAATACATTAAAATCATGCTTCAGAAAGTAGGACAAGATTTAGGACTAATTCCATCTGGAATGACATTTCTTGGGTAAAAAGGAAGGAAAACCTGAGACCAAGGACCCTATAAAGAGTTTCTCAACCTTGGTCCAATTGATTTTGCAGCAGATAATCCTCTGTTGTGCACCACTATTCCAAGGTGCGGTAGTGCTCCCTCAAGCTCTAACTACCCAAAACGTCTCTGTATGTTGCTAAATGTCACTGAAGGGACAGATCTCCCCTGGTTGTGAACCACTGACCTAGGAGGATAGGCACCTGTCATTAGCTAAGCGCCGGTAAGCACTGCTGACTTTTTGATAGGAGATTCTTGTCTATTACTAACCATTACTTGCTGCTTCTCTGTATAGCAGCAATGCAGCATTTATATATCCAGGAAGATTGTCTGGAAGATAATATGATCTAGAATCTTGGTTCCAAGAATAGTCATCATTTTAGACTTCCCAGTGGAAAGGGTTTAAATATCAGATCGATGCCTGGGAAATATTAGATCTTTCAGAGATTTTGAATTCTGGCTCACCATGAGAATCATCTGGAGTCTTTGAGACCCAACACCAAAATTAAATCAGAATCTGTGAAGGAGGACCAAGGCATCAGTCTTTATCAAAAATCATCTAATGTGCATACTCAATCCAGAAATTCTGTAATTCCTGTACTGCTGAATGAAGTATCATATTCAGAGAAATCTACTCAGTCAAACAAGCAAGCAAACCACCAGTCAATCAATCAATAAAATTGTGATATCTTGAGTTAGCTATGACAGTGACATGCCTGTTACCAAATAGTAAGGTTGTTTAAGTAATACAAGTCTATGCACTTATAAAGCTGAGGAAGGAAGAAAGGAGAGCTAGAAAAGAAAAAGGAGAAAGGGCAAGGGTTTGGGGAAAGAAAGAGAGAGAGAGAGAGACCCTGCTTGGTTTGTTGCAATAAAAAAACCTTTGTACATCTCCTGAAGTTAAAATACTTGATGTGTAGAAATGAAGTCTGGCCCCCAGAAAAGAGGTGTGTCTTCTGTGACTGGGAAAAAATGAACCAGAGCTCCAGTGCCTGGAAGGCCACACAGGTGCTTAGGCTGCAGCCTGTAAGGAGGCCCACATCCCGGGTGAGGCAGGGCTCGAATGACCTTTTCTGTTGAAAACAAAAAGTCCTTCCAGTGATAGATACAGTGTCCATAAAGGAGTAATTTATCTGCTGAGTGTGATGGCAACAGATTGCACCAGACTTATATTTAGAATATCATGAAGGATAATGAAGATACCAAAGTGGTTCTGATAAACTCAGTATCGACAAGGAGCAATGTTTAAAACTTCAGACTAGAGATTTTGATCAAAGCTTTCGTGTGGTATCTTGAATGTGAGGTAGGAAATTTGGAGAGAGGATGAACAGGAAAGTTCATAGAGTGGAGGACAGTAACATCTGCTTCATCCAGAGGTTCAGCTTAACTTCACGCTGTGGAGTAGAAGCCCTTGGGTCTGAGGTTAGCTCCAGGGGGCTGTACGTAGGGTTGAGCCAGGAGACTCACTCCCATTTATTCTGTGACCCAAAACAAGCTATTTCTTTTCTCTGGATTGTGATATTTTAATTATTTTCCACTGTAACAATGGAATCCAGGTGAAAACTAATTTCGCAATTCTCTTTGGAAAAGAGCTTCTGAAAGTAATAAAGAGTGCTTGTTAAGTGGCTTAGTATAACTTTTAAATTTTATTTTATTCATGCTATATATTACTGTTAAATAATTAGTTTAATTATTAGCATTTCAAAAACAATGTTATTTATTATTTTTAAAAACAATGCAATATCTGGACTATTGTGGATATTAAGAACTATTTGTTGGATGATAGGATGAGTAAATATAAGTTACTGAGAACATTGCTAATGCATCAAAGACTAAAACAAATTTTTGAGATTTTTGGAAGTGAATATCTAATCGATAGCTAGTAAATTAAAAAATGTTTCTAAAAGCTTAAAGATTAGTTTTTAAATGAAGTCAATTCTTTATGCACATGAAAAACCCTCAGTTTTTCTACATGATTTTGATTTTCTGTTTGGTTCTGTAACAGTTGTTGAACTTTCCCACTCTCCTTGTGGATTTATGTATTTCTCCTTTCAGCTCCATCACTGTCTCGCTTGTTTTGTAGCTGTATTTTGCAAATTCTATTGGAAAATAAACGTTACTCACTAGGCATGAAATACTTAAAATACTTTTAAGGCAAATGTGATGTTGCTTCAATTAAAAAAACATAATAGAACATCTTTAAGGGAGTGGAAGTCAGGGTTTAAAATTCTTTAAGTCTACAAGGAAGAGAGAGAGAGAACCAGTAGCAACATTTAATGATCAAAATTTGAAATTCAAATGCAAGGATGAACACAAAAGGTGAATTGGCCTCAGCATTTCCAGTCAGAAGACAGAGCATTGGGGTGGATGCAGCTAACATCTCTTTCACAACTGAGGTTCTTTGACTTACTGTGATTCCCTGCAAAGTGCCTTGGACTCAGCTAGATTGGATGAGTTGGATATACTCAACAGTGTTGGCTGGGTGGTGTTAGATATGTCATTCGAAGTCCATATCTTTTTTTAAGAATTTTGATTAATTTACAGATGCAATAGTGTGCACAGTATGTAAGGAATTATTGCAGCAACGATCACTAGGAGGATTCCACTATGGTGAGTTTTAATCCACACTAGGGAAGGTGAGGGGTGATGACACAGTGGCTCTTCTGAATCCTTCAGCAAATCTAGCAGTTTGAGGGAGAAGGCAACGTGACTTACTGATAATAATGTGGGGAAAAAAACAGGCTTTGAGTGAGCCTTTGGTATATTTTGAGAGTAATAGGCAGGGATACAGGTAAGGAGGAGTCAAACTGCTTTAGTTTATTTAGTTTCCAAAGCCTTTCATGAGGCTATAAGAAAAAAATGACATATGGGATTTAGATGACATTTTTTTTCCTTATGGATAGAAACCTGCATTCCCATTTGATCTTGCCTTTGATAAAAACCTAAGCACTTTCCATTCATGACTCAGCACCTAACACACATGAAACATAGTAGTCACTCAGTAACTGTTGGATTATATATTATCTTGTAACCAGCCTCTGAGACTTTTATAATTATGATCTGTACTTCAGAAGTGAGAAAGCTGATGCTTTATAGCAGTTAAATTTTCTCTACTAAGCTTTCCATACTCTATTAACCTCTCATTAACCTAAACCATGAGACTTCAATCTCATCCTGCTGTCCATCTACTCATCATCTTATTTGTCCCTGAGCCAAGGTTTGCCTCCTTTTATTGGCTTTATATGGGGCATCCAGTCTGCTCCTTATTTATTGCTCCTTTAGGGCTGATTTGCCATAATTCAGTGTGACTCCTGGGACCCACCTCTTAAGGCCTTTCAGGGTCTGCATTCTTATTCATTCCCCTTATATTAATTTATTCAACTGATTTATTGAACCTCTCTGTATGCCACATTTGATTGAACATGACAATCTCTTCCCTCAGGGAACCCATTACAGAAGACCCTGGAAGTGTGGATACTTCCTGAGAGGAAAACAAGGAAATGGGTAAGTGTAAAAGACTCTGGAAGATAAATGTAAACAGAAATGTTCTCTTAGGAATAACTCCTGGCACAGGGCCT